GCCGGACTCTACTAATATTCAACCCGATCCAAATAGTAGCTGTAACTTTTATTTTTATCAATTTGTTGCTACCTTTCTACGAAAACAATGCATCACTTGCTAAAGTGTTCCAATTTGTTAAAAGCAAATTTGTATTTAATCGGTTAGAAATATATGGGTCATTCCATACAATATTTACACCTCAATATGTTTTTTGGGGCGAAATATATTTTTTTACATTCTTTATCGAAAAAAAGAAGACACAAATTTTTTTTTGTTTCGTCATGATACTCCATAAAGTTTGACAAAAAAAAAAATTTATAAAAAAAAAAATTTTAATGCACATTTTTTTATTTTAATCTATCTCACATTCTCATGAAAAGCCGATACCTTAACTGGTTTTCTCCGATAAATAGTTTTTAATTGCAAACCATTGAAAAAATATACTTCTCCGTGAGTTCAAAATTTCGGCAATTTTTTCCGAAATTTTCGAATATCATGACGAAATGAAAAAGTTTGTCTTCTTTTTTCGATAAAGAATGTAAAAAGGTATTGAGGTGTAAATATTGTATGGAATGACTCATATGTGTGTTAAGTTGACTAAGGAGGTACGATAGACGAGTATACCACTTAGCACTCGAATTATAAATAAAAAAAGGAAGAGATTCATATTTTTGCTATTTTTAAGACTCGTCAAGTACAAAAATGTTTATGCTTTTAACCAGTAGATAGAAAAAGATATTTTCAGTAGCAGTATTGGTAGTAAATACAGCCAAACAGTAGGCCGCAGAGTGATGAATGTTATTTATAAAATATGATGAGAATGGGTTGGCAATGACGAATGTGACGTCAATGGCTGAAAGTCGAGAAAGCTGAAAAAATTAAAACTATCCTCGGGAAAATCGCTTGGGCGATGACACAAAAATCACGATGAAGGCGATTTTGTTATGATAAATACGTAGTTGATCATTAAAGAACCTTTCCATAAAGCTTATAAGTATATTTGGAATGTGGTTGGGCTAAAAACATTTTAAGAAATGCACTTACAAACAAGAATTCAGAACGGAACTGCTCCAACTGCTATATCGGAAAAAACCTGCACTTAATGAGTCTTCATTGAGCTAAGAATATAGGGCCTATATAGCTATACATACGAAATCTCCGACAAAAAATATCAATATATTTAGCGAAACCATGTACCAAATATAGTAAAACAGCGATTTTAGTTTTTTCCTCTGACGTCAGCTTGTTTTTAAAGGACTTTGGAGTTTGAAAAATATAATTACTTCAAAACATTATTTTAAAAATCCAGTGCAATTTATAAAAACATTATGGGTATCAAATTAAAGGGGAAACTCTGTAAAATTAAAGTAGGTCAAATATTTTGGTGCATAAGGACGAGTAGGTATTGAAAATGTCCTTTTAAAATTTTATCCTTGAAACTTTGTAATACTTATTTTCGAAAAAAAAAATATTATATGTTAACGCTTAATAAAAACTCGACCACATCCTCGAATTTCGTCCTTCTGACTCTATAAGCTAAAAAAATAAAATCAGTAAAATAGGAGTTTTCAATACTTATTCGCCCTTGTCAACCAAAAATTTTTTTTACTCTTATTTGGTATCCATATTGGGCTGTGTGAATAAAAAAAAAACAAATGCTTTTTCTTAAAACTTCAGTCTTTTTACTGCAATTTATTTGAGTATAATACACTGAAAATCTTAAATTAATAATATCTTTGAAACTACAAAGTCCTTAAAAAATCCCGAAGTCGGATTATTTCGCATGTCACGATTTTTTTTTTTATATCGCACGTTGTGATATATGTACATGTTCGTATGTATGTATGTAATGTGATTGCCTGTAGTTTTGGTCTATTGCTATGATGTATATGGAATGCTTGTTTTGCTTGCTCTGAGTAGCGGGTCTTTATGCAAGAAAATAAGCCTAAAAATATGTTCCATATAACTATAAACAAATTTGAACATTTTGCATATATGTCGTTAAGTGGTATATAATTTTGGGCTTGTTTTTTTGCATAAAAATTCCTAGTCTAGTTATGAGTAGAATCTATTTTTAATTCCTTATTAGTGATAACTGTAAATATCTTAGTGCTAGCAAACATATAACTGAGAGCAAACAAGTATACATAAATACCTTCAATTGCTTTTTATGGTTCGTTTGGTTGTTTACCAGTGCTATAGTACAAATATTGTATGCAAAAATTGTATAGATAATAATAAATAAGTAGAAGAAAATGTAATAAAATTACATAGATATACATAGTCATGTAAAAATTAAAGGAACACGACATTTTGAAGAGGTTTGGTCATTTTTCATTTGTTTGTTTCTCGTTTATTATTATTTTTATAAAAATACAGTTCATTATCTAACAAACAACATTTACTATACATAATAAGTCTAAATTTTAAACTTTTTAGAAAAACTTAAAAAATTATCAAAATTTTACAACAAACTTTTTAATAAGAATACATACTGCATACTTAGAATTTTTGTTCTTATATGATTTTGTTGCATTTTTCTACAAACTTTGAAATTTAGACTTATATAGTTTTATTAGATAATGAACTGCATTTTTATAAAGTAAGAATTAAAACATTAAAAAAGCAAAAAAATAGTTAAAACAAGGCCAAATGTCGTTTCCCTATTATTTTTCACTTGACTATATATGTATTTATGTTATACACATAAGGTTGTGTCAAAATATATAAATTTTTTTAATTTCTTATATTCAGTGCACACGAAAATTTTTGTTCTGTTGATAAAAAAAATATATATTTATAGCTCGCCCAAGTCCTCGTAGGTTGTATTTCAAAGAAGCAAAAAACATCTATCTTGAAATAATAAAAACTTAGATTTGAACGACGTTTATTTTTATTTTTTGTTTATCAAGTTATTTTTGTTAGCACTGAATAAAAAGGATTTTTTTGAAATTATATTCACGTAAATATTGAGTTCTTGAAAAGATTTTAGTGCATTTTAAATGTTTATAAACATATCTAGTCCAAGTAAAGTGCTTTTATTCGGGAAATGAAAAGTTTATATATATGGAAGTAAGAGGTAAAAAAAAGGCTGTGATTAATTAACAGATTGTCAGAGCAACCGTTCTCATGGAAACCAATTTTCATTAGCTTTTGATATTTCCTCTTAGAAAAGTTGGCATCGAATACTATTTGTAGAATCGGCAAATCCATTAATTTATGTTTCGCGAACACAGCGAAGAACCTTACTACTAAACTCGGCATTTTTTCGGTTCAAAGGTTTCACGTGATGTTGCAACTGACAACGTAAACATCATCGGAAGTGTTCATTTTGTGCTTTACTATCAATTCGAAAATATTTGTTTTTTGTTATTCAGCCCTATTCTGCATTTCGATTACGTTGCCGCATTCCGCTCCGCTACAATCGTAATTTGGTATTCTGAGTTACGCTCGAACCGAAAGAAGAAGAGGAAGAGCGGCGAAAACATCTTCGAAATCAGCTGGTTGCCTAGGAATGTGTGAAATCGAAACAAAACAAAGGAAATAATTGCACCAAACTATAGCAGCTTATGAAGTTAAAATTTGCAAATATTTTAAAATAACTAAATATATCTAGCTCATTTTAATTTAAAAATAAAATTTCATTTGTTCTTAATTTAAGTAGAGACATAATTTTATTGCTTGAAGAGCAGAACGAGTCCCAGATTGCTGATGCGAAAGCTGAAAGGCGGAGATTTAGAGACATGTTTGATCCTTTTCAGATGAGTGAAGAATTATAAGAAATTCATCATATTTGAGCAAATTTTTCGTATTGCCCGTATTGCTGCTCGCGAAAACACAGAAATCGAGAAATTTCATTTATGATTACTTTTACAATCTTGCACAGTATATTTCACTTAATTTTTTTTTATAAAGTTTTAATATGTAAACTCATGAAAATAACAATCCGTTCCGAAAATAACGTTCTCCGTCAACAAATTTGCATTTTAGAAAAACGTAACTACGATCGAAATGTAGAATAGGAATAATCGTAAATTTCGAAGATTGGTCGAAACGAAACGGAACACAGAATACCAAAGTTGCCAAACGGAGAAAATTTCGATTCGAGTCGAAATGCAGAATAGGGCTGATTATTATTGTGGCGTAATAATTATTTCAACGGTGTTTATGAAATTTAACCACATTTTTTCAACAAATTTCAAGCAGTTCGGGGTGATGGAGATCAGACCAACTGCATTCTATTAAGCTGGTCAAATGATTAAAAATGCCGAAGGATGTGAAAAGTGGGTTACTATTTGAGTTTTTTCTTTTGTATGCCTATTTTACTTTGGAGATGTAAGATCTCAAAATGACTATGTATAGTTTTTCTTTATTTTTCAAATCTCCCCTCTCTATGTCTGTGTGCTAAGTAAAATGTATCGAATATCGACAACAGTGCTGCTTTTTTTCCAATGTATCCCAAAAGAAATTCAAATGTCGAAATTGAACGTAATTCCCTATTCGCGAATTATTTGAGAAAGACATCCAACATCAAAATTCCGGCGAAATGTCATTTGTTCTCTCACAAGAGACAAATACCCAAAATAATAGGCGCACAGAAAATTTGCAGAAAGTTCGACGAACAGCTGATAGAAATTTTGTTTACATTCAAAAGTATAAAATTGAAAACGTAAGAAAACAAATCCCGAAGTCTTATCCTGACACAATTCAGTGACTGAACAACGAAAAACTACTTACTACTTACAAGTTTAATTAGTCGTACTTTACCATTTTAACTTGCAAACCATCAGTGCAGTTGGCAAACAAAATTTTCCAGCAGAAACTAGCTGCTTTCGCCTCAAAATGAAATGTCATTTTGCTCTCTCAATTTCCCCTGGGTTTACGAAGTATGCAAACGCACATTTCAATAATTTCAAATCGGCAAATGTATTTTCAAAATCTTCTTTTAAATTATTTTTTTTTAGCCATGGAAAATGATGAAATATTTTTTTTTTTTGAGATCATGAATAAAAAGACATAGTTTAGCTTCAAAACTTGTAAGTAATTTGCGACAAATCAAAAACAGTTTTTTTCTCTCCTTGTAGAGACGAATTCAAGCTTTGCAAATGTCGCATCATATCGGTAAAGAACATTTAGTCAGAAAGCCAATTTTCAATCTCCCATTGCAGGTAATGTTCCGATCTTAATTTTCGTGTGTGTGTATATAAAGAATAAAATAAAAAACATCACAACGGAAATAAATGTCTAGCAAAGAAATATGTATTTTAAAAAGTAAAAAACAGCCAAAATGTGCTAAGCAAAGGGAAAGTAAAAAGAGCCGCACTTTGCTAAGCAAAGAGCCGCGTTTGCCCACTGTTGGTCTAGAATATATACAATTGTATTTGTTCGTTTTTGAAACCTTAGATCTACAACTTCAAATCGATATAATGATAACAAACTTTTACAAATCCTTTGGTATCTAATCATATTTTGACCTGCCTAAATGAATGCAATTGATCTCATTTCCATCACTTTTTGAATGTTGCACTGCGTTTATCGACATACGACTTGTACCAGGTAATTTAAAAAGTCTGTGCAATTTTCTTGTGTTTTTTTTACCCCGTCATTGAAATAGATTTGCGACAAATAATTTATTTCAAATTTTAAACTGTTCTTACCTGATTAGAAAATGTAAACACATATTAGGAACTGAACTTGAAAAAAAATCACCAATTCCCTTGCTAACCCCTAAAAGCACTATTACCAACAACTATAAAAACTATGTAAGTAAATGAAAATATTAATAATAATAATAAATTTCTGTATGTACTCTAAGATTACTTCACTAAATTAAACTACAGCAATTTTAGCCTCAGTTGATTGAAAACAAACAAATTAACTGAATAACTTTGCAGCAAAATATTGAAATCCGACCTCCTAAAGAATTCGTTTACATTGGCTAAATTTTCGCAATGTATTTTTATAGGAGAACCTTTCGCTACTCCAAAATCGTTTAGCTTCATATGCTCCTGCTAAGTTTCATTTGTCCTTCATAATTTTCAACTATGTATCTCTGTAAGTTTCATACCTTTTATATATATATATATATGCATGCAACGTTTGTGTAAATAAAAATTTGTTTTAGCTGCTGTGGAAGGTATGTATGTATGTAGGTTCGCATATGTGTGTGTGAGTGAATTGCATCTATAAATTGTTACTGCATAAATAGGCATTTTTTTATGTACATATAAGATTCACTAAATGCATTTAAAATGTACGTATGTACGTTTATATCATCAGCCACTAAACGCTTTGCAGCTGCTAAAATAGCCATATTGGCGCATTTATAAAATGCGGTCGTTTCATATGTCCAACAAATTTTGCAGTGATTTGCGGTATACCTAATTATTCCTATTGCTACTTTCTATAGGTGTGTATATGTATGTTTATTTCCTATGTTTATGTATGTATGTATACACATACTTAGGTTTTGGAATGTTTATGTTTACTGCTTTGTAGTTTGTATGTTTTCTTTACGTTTGAAGCGCACGCGCGTGCCCGCCTACATATGCCTGAGGCGGCAGCGACAGCGTTGACGCCTAATCACTATTTTTATCCTGAATGTGTTTCATTTTTAAATTTTCCTTCATTTACTCTTATAAAGTTTTACCCTCCAAACTTATGTATGCACGTTAATCCTAAATTTCCCTTTAACTTAATACTTTTGCGCGCCTGCTCAACCATTTGGATCGACATTTGGGCGTCGATGCGCGCTACTAAAAGCTACACTAAACGTGTTGCTACTGCTACTGCTGGGCACAGACGCTGCGGCTGCGGCTGCGACAGTGGCTGGCACTGCCGCTGTGACCTGTGGTGTATTTGTGCACCATGGATTGGCGGATGTCGCAGTGGCAGTCGCACTGGTCGATGCAGAAATCGATCCGAAGGCAGGAACTATGGAATTGTGGCCGCGGCTTGGCGCTGCTGAACTGCGTGGCTTCTGCTCCGCAGACGATTTCTTCAGCTTCACAGCATTGCCGCGTTTCGGCTGAGTGGCTGGACTAATTAGCGACGAAGAAGTATTCTTTTGAGGGGCGGGCGCATGCATGGTGACAGTAGTTGTTGCTAGCGTGGCTGGTTGCTGATAAATGAAACGACATAAGTGGTGTTTTCGCTGTGAAATATTAGTAAAGTAACTTAGCACTCACCTGTTCGGAAATAGTGTCCCTTGTAGTTCGTGTAGCACACGCTGGCGCTGAGCAATCGTCTACGGCTCTCGCCGTTGCTGCTGTCTTGAAACCATTAGTTAATGCCAACGCCACGGCTGCTTCGCTAGTTGGCGTCAGTGTTGCTGCCACCTCCTCGTCCGCGAGCAAACAAATCACATCATTCGATTTGGAATGTTTAGAGTAATTTGCATGGAACTGTTTCTTACTGCTACTGCTACTACTACGACTACTGTTAGGACCGCCGGCACCGCTGCCGCCACCACTACCACCGCAACTGCTGCTGCTGAGGCTTCCGCTCCGCTGTTGACCAGCTACGCCAAGTGTCAGTGTTGTAGGTGGCGTTGAAATAAACGGCAGCGTATTTGGCGGTACGATATAACCGCTCGCACCGCCTACGCTGCACGCGCCACCGCTGTTGGCATAATTACCTGAGGAACTATGTTTGCGCAGCGCCGTTGCCACTGTGTTGGGCGGCGTCTGCTTAAAGGGTATGAAAAATGGATGCGCTCCATCTTGTGGCGGCTTCTCTGGTGTTGAGCTGCATAAAGGCATCTGCGACACATTCGCTCGACCTTCCAGCTCATTTTCGTTCGACGCGCCACTGACATTCGGCTCCATTTCGACGGTAAGTTGCCGTCGTATGATTTTGCCATTACCATTGCCATTTGGCAGCTGCGTAGTCTGGTACTCTTTTGCGCGAGTGGCATTTAAATCCAAATAGCCCCCGCTTTTCGGTATCAGCGTTTGCATTTCATGGCAATCTTGTTGAAAAGTGCTGCCGCTTAAGCCACCTGCGCTTTCGCTGGGTATGCTTGGATTATTCAAATTGCCAAAATTCATATCTGATGGCGAACTTAGATGTGTGGGACCCTGCGTGCGCGCCTTATATCGACGTCGTTGAAAAACGATCAGCAATGCAAATATGATCACACAGGCAACAGAAAGCAACGAACCGATTATGATGCCACTGTAAACTTCCGATTCGCTGGAAGGGCATTCAATTTCGAGCGAATGGTGGCTAATGCTGCGCAAATCGATAAAAATTGGAGCACCGACGCCGGTTTCACCTACAACGCGTACAGTTACATTGATTTTCGCCGTCTCGGAGATGTTAGGAAACTGTTGAAGAAAATATATTAGTTGAGAATATATGTATATGATTTCATTTGCAGTTCATATTCTGCTTACCTTAAAGGAACACGAAGTACAGTCTAAAACATTCACCTCGTGCGTCACATTGCCCAACGTCCATAAAATGTTATAGTGATGGATCTTCCCATTGGGCTGCAGGGGCGGATCCCAAAGAAGCTTTAAGCCATTGTGCCGTATAATTCGTTGATTGCTGATGGTGCCCGGTGCTATGGAAATTATTTAATTTATTACTTTGTGCCCAAACTCAAAAAAATTAAAGTATTGTATCTCCGGAACTTACGATCAGGCAATGTCTGCTTATCCACTTGCCCATAGAACGTTTGCGTTTCACAGCTAAAGAAATTCACACGATAACGTTCCGATGGCTTGAGACCTCGTATCTCTACTTGCGAATTAGTTATTGGCAATTGATCGCATTTCGGCTCCTCTTTACGTATAATGGGGAATTGTATCTGCCAATGACACACGTGAACGCAAGATTCATTGAAACCCTCGCGGAAATGAAAGGTGAGCACGCGTGACTCCACGATACTTAAGCGAAATGGTGTATTGGCTAGCTCGTTAGTATCGTTCTCGACCTAGATGGAATTAGAGTAAAGAAGGATATGAATTAAAATTCTTTAAAGAGAAACACGATTCTCATAGTTAATTAAAAGGTTGCGATTTTACTGCCACATTCAAAGATTATATTTTTTCCAAATCGTGTATTTACTATAAATAATTTGCCCTTGCATAAATTATATATGTACGTACCTACATAAGTACATATATAATATGTATATGTAAGTATTTATACATAAATATATACTTTTTAGATCGATACATTTGGATATATTTTCCAAATTTTTGCGTATACTTTTAGGGATTACGAATAGTCAGACTTCCCAAAATACTGTTTGGATTTCATCAAGTTGGCTTCAAGTCTGGAAAATTTTCCAAATATCAAATTTTCACAGTGCGTCAAATCCTGCACAAGATCGTAAAATTGATTCACTTCACATTTTCGTTGACTTAAAAGCCGGTTTTGATGCTATAAAGGAAGCTTCTACGATGCTATGTCTAAATTTGGTATCACCGCAAAACTTAAACTGCGAAGTGACGTTGAGAATAATCTTCAGCTTCATCCAAATTAGGAAAAACCTCTCCACGCTATTTGAGACCAAGCGAGGTTTTAGACCATGCAACCCACTCTCTTGTGATTTTTTAATCTGATTCTGGAAAGCGTAATACGGGCTGCACATTTGAGTTGCAAAGAATGTTACTCATACGCCACGTACACCTGAGTAACACTGAGTAACAGGTATTTGTAGATGTGGAAGGATTTTATGGTTTAAAAATTTGTTCAAAATGACGGCCAAAATCGTGGTTTATAACTTTCCGTATTTGTGTATAGTTTTTATTAGAGCAACAGAAGCCAAATCACCAATTTTTAGAATTTTTGTCTGGCTGTCTATCTGTCTGCCTGTATGTTTGTACGAGCATCACTTGAAAACTAATACATGGAATTGAATGCATTTTTCACCGTATTGCTAGAGATCTAACTTAAAATATAGAAAGAAAAAATTCGAGTGTTGCCACCTGTTTGAAAACTACAGTTTAAGTAAATGGATGAGAAAAGTAAATATTACAGTAAAGAAAGAAGTTTAACAAAGCTTACAGCCGAAAATATTTTTGCGGAGGTGGCCACATGTTTGAAAATTTAATTCAATTTAATTGATAAGATAAATAAAATATTGCAATATGGGTATCAAACTATACAAGAGGTTTAGGAAAGTTTACTGCCGAAAATATTTTGAGGATGGTCGCCATCTGTCTGAATCGAGCCCTCGAAACGCACAGTTAACGAAAATTATCTAAACTAGTCGATTTATTGAAATTTGTTGTTAACTTAATTTAGCCAATTTTTAGACTTAGTCAAGAATGAGCTGACTTAGTTGAAGTAGAGTAGTGAGTTAGAGAAACCAGCCCTTAGTGTTTTTGAATTTCAACGAATTATCGGTATGTACTTGTATGTATCAAATTTTCGAAATTTATCGACAAACAGGAATGTAACGGATAAATTCCAAGTCCCACTAAAGACTTTCAACGAAATAAATAATTGTGGTCACGTTTTAGTTCCGCTAAAAAATTTTTAACTTTATAAGCTGAACGACATGCTAAGTTAGAAAACCTGTCTAAGGCTCTTAAAAAAATAAAAAAAAAACGGTCAGCAGTAACTGGCACTCCTAGTAATAAAAATAACCCAGTATATTCAGTATTTATCAAGTGAGATGTTTGTGTATTCTAGTATTTTAATTGATTATTTTAATTGATACTAAACTAAACTAAACTAAAACTAAAAAGGACGTGTTCTACAAAAAATCATCCCATGTAAACGGAGTCGGCAAATTTTGGCTATTCAACTCTGCATTCAACTTTGGATTCAACGAGCCGCCTGTACGCTTTTAGAGTACAGGCTCAGTACATGAGAATAAACAAACCACAATTTATTCACAGTGGATTTAGCCAGTGCCTATGACTTTGTGCGCTTCATCAGAGCTACGAAGTGGTTCCATTTCTAGGGTAAGCGGAGGGACATATGGAGTCTCTAATACGGCATCACAACGGGCCCATGGTGGCCTAAGTGTGCCCTTTTCCTGAGGGATAAGGGAAGCCGAGATAACCTAACCACAGTTTATCAATATTGCACTTATATTGGGAATATGAAGGATGGAATAACAAAATACTATTTATTTTGCTACCAATGTATTCACAGGTGCATTCATATAAGGTGGTGTCACCCGAGGAGCTGATTGTGCCGCTTGTCAAAACGATTTGTTTATTGTACATTTTTTGTGTTCTTATTGTAATCGTGCGTATAATTTGTTATTGTAGTTTTTTTTTGGTTTTGTGCTGCCGCTATCGACTTGCTTGACGTGTGCGATATGCACTTCAGATTTCTTGTGACTTACCGTCTTCCATTGTACATAGCGAAAGTCTTGCCTGAGATTTTCATTTTCACGCGTAATAATCAGTACGCGCAATTTCATGCGTTGAAAATTTGGTAACAACACTCCCGTCACATTCGCTCGAACAACTAGACTAAATAATTCCTCCTCCAACTCCACGTGACTATTGTTGTCAATATACTGCGCCTGAGCGCCTCTCAACACCGCGCGCATCTCTGCCTCGTTGAGCGCGCTGATATCACAAAGTTTCTGAGCGACATCCTGCGGCGTTAGATCCACATGTTGTGTGGTGCCGCGTAGCCTTTGGTTAAGCAGCTGCTTGGGATGTGGTTGCGTGTAATTAGAGGATAACTGTATTATAAAATACTTCTTGCCCTCCAGTTCGGGTTGCGACCAAGTGACAAACGTGTCATTGCCCATGTGAACCAAATGTAAAAGTACTGCAATAAAAAGTGAGAATTGGAAATTAAGCAAAGCAAGAGGAGAAGGTATGCAAATTTGTTTAAATAATGGCAAATGACTCACATCCTTGAGTGCAGCATGTCACCGGTGGGCTGCGTAACGAGCTAAGTATTGTTTGTTGCTGCGGCTTATTGGCCAAACGTATCTCCGAGGTTGGTACAAGCACGCGGGTAATCAGCTCAAATGGACGGTAAACAGGTAGGTGGCTCGAAATGACCAAATGTGAGGTATGATTGAGTTTCATGGGGGCAAATGGAGAAATCCACCGATGTGGATTATTCTGCACAATGTGCACAATGAAGAGCGACTGCGAGAGAATAAGAGAAATTATTAAACAATGCAAATTCGTAATGAAAAATTTGCACTTAATGTTTACCTCAAAAAAGTTGCTCTCAAAAGTCACATTGATCGTATTAAAGCTGAGCGCATAGCAGCGTATATTCTGCAGTGGATTTTTTAGTAACAACTCGTCGCCTTTGTTGCGAAAACGCAACTCTCCCGCGCTGTAAACCTCCCCGGCGAGATTGCGTGCAAAGCATTGATAAATGCCTGCTTCAATCGGATCGAAGGAGTGTATATGCAATTCGTTGCCAATGATGTAGCGTGTATAGGAACTGTTGAGAGGAACCCCGTTGTGATACCAGCTGATCACCGGCCGGGGATTGCCGGTGGCGCTGCAACGAAACTGCAACGAAGCGGTAATCAAAGTTTCATACGAGACGAGCGGTTCGACGATCACCGGTGGGGAGGTAACGATCACATGAAAAGTCTGCGATAGAAAGAGAAAGCGTTTTAGTTTAACGAACTCTTTTTTTCTACTCAAAAATTGTTTGCCTCTATCCTCAAAGAGTACATCGGACTAGAGATGGGCGCGGGATATTGGGACCCGAGGAACTCATGGTACTAATTTCTAAATAGCCGGGATGGTTTAAAAAAATCGAGAAGGTTTTAAAAAAATTAGCGAGCGGGATTAAAATTCTTTCGCGACACTCCCGATTAGGTCCACGACTTCTGAAAAGAATACAGAATAACTTGAAGGTGCAGATCTTTCAATACGACGAAAATGCGTAGAGTACTTGAGAAAATGATGCACATAAATATGTATCCAATAATGTGATTTATTGACTAGGTTTTTTCAAACGATTTTCCAGCGATATCTATAGGCGTTTTTTTAAACCTTAATTTTTCGGATATCGAATACACCGGATCTTTTTTTATCGCACAAGTCGGTTTTTTTTTTCATTTCGTACCAATCTTGACCTCTCAATAAAAGTTTTGATTTTTCCGAAGTTTTCAAGGCATTTTTTAGGTTAAAGGAAACACCTATGCAAATAATTTTTAAATTATACCTACACTAGCCCAATAAACATTCGGCTTGGTTAACAATTCGAAAATGATTGGAACACTAATCTGTTTTTCGAGTCTCACCTTCGATAACGAGAGTGCAATAGGTTAGTAGTCGATTCGAGAACCAGGCCATTTTCCAGCAAAACGGAACCTTCGTTATCCAATGTATTTTCCCTTCGTTATGAATTCGAAATCCTGCCCATTATCGAATTGAAATTTTAATGAGAGAGAGTGATTGTCTTATATTTCCCTTCGAAAATGAGCTGGATTTCACTTCCTGTCTTGTTACTATGGTTTTCATTTTTTTTTGGAACCCATCTAGAATGTATTTCCAATACACTATGAACCTTGGAAAACTAAGGTTGGTTATAAGTTCCTTCTCAGTTCGATATGCATATTGAATATCAAAGGTAATTTTCGAACGTTCGCCAAAATGTTTACAGGGATGTTATTCTGCTTATTGGTGTTGTGATACAAATACAGAGATCTACACGCTTACTCCACCTCCTGACAAGGGTTTTCATAGTTCGGGACCTAAAAATTAAATGTCCGGATAGGCGGCATCGGGACTGAATATTTAGTCTCATGTCAATCTCAACATACATCGGCCATTTCCTACATTTCCTACAAAGGGATACTTTACTTGGCTTGTTGCTACAAATTACAGAAAATTACTACTTCAGCTTTTACAGGCCGGTAAATATAGGATTTGCTAACATTTCCAGCACATAAATATATAGTAATATCAAATATTAAAATTTTCGAATTAATACACTTTTTTAGTTGTAATTTTTACCTGATTACTTCTTCCCGTAACGCAAGAGTAGTAACCTTGATGTGCCTCCTGGCTAGCTTGTTCTATGTTGTATGCATTGCTGTGGTTGCTGATCTTCAGTGGCGCGGCATTCAATGTTGTTCGATACCACCACTCGATCGGTTGCCCATCAATTTGTTCATAGCAACGTAGCTCACAGCTGGTGCCTGTTGCTACATACTGCGTTGTATTTTGTAGACTGGGTAAAAGCTCATTGCGGCTTGTTGTTGTAGGATCATCTTGGACATTTAAGGCCCACATAAATTGTCGATGAATCTTTGAGGCAAATTGATTTTGCGCCCCGCATCTGAGGGACGAAATCAAAAGAGAATTCAACTTATTAGACTTGACTGAGAGATTTTCATGAAGGTATAACTTAGGAAAAAATAAACACTATTATTCCTTAACTTTTTCATGTGAATTTATACTTCAAAAGGCTTTTATAACAAAAACCTTGTTAACAATCTCCTTATTCAACAATAGCATGACTACGTTGAATTATCCCGAATACCTAATATAAAATTTGTCGATAAATTGCACTCAATTGTCAATTTTTGTACACACATATCGTCACCTGAAATGCAAAAAGTCATAACCGGTGAAAAATTCAAAATTCACTTTTTGATTTATATTATGGATTTCATCGAATTGCAACTCGCCACATCATTTTAGGAAAAAAATAAAAATATCAGTCACGACTTTTTCCATTTCAGTTGCAATTTAGTTACGTCCTTTTGCATTTCAGGTGACGATATGTACATAAGGTTGCCTCACGAAAAATGTTAGGTCAGTTTTATAACTTACACCTACATATTTTGCGCGCAATTTAGTGGCCGCGGTTAACTGGAGTTCTCACAAAATAAGTTTGTAGAACAACGAACAGTGCGAAACGATTACTGGCAAAAGTTGTACTCCACTTCAACGCGAACTCTTAGCCACTTGCAGTTAGTACTTTGATATACTGAAATTTAATGTTCTATAAAACTGCATACCCAAAATTTTTCTAAAAAAAAAACAATTTTGGTGAAAATATTTTTTGTAACATTTCAAATTTTTTTGTGAACCACACTAGTGTTCTTTATCGTGGGTCACCTCAGTGACTCCCGAAACACTTTACGTACATATGCTTGATTCGATGTTCCTCTACAACAAAAAATTTCCTTTTATCGAAGAAAGCAAAAGCCGCGAAGCATTCAAACATTGACATATGAAAACCTTTATACTAGCAACATAGTCACAAAAAAAAAGAATATTAAATAAGTAATATAGAATAATATTTTAATGTGGGGTGCTATTCAACGCATCCCCAAACCAAAAGTTAAAGACCTTCACTTGCCTGCTTTGCTTTGAACTCTTTAACAGCTGCTGGTAGGGCGGCCAGTTTGTTGTTGATTGTTAATTGCTACAATTACGCTCATCGTTCGAGTGCGAAATTTGCAGCTTGTAAATATTTCGCTACTGTCTATTCTGCGGCATGCTTATGCTTTTTATCATTGTTGTTGCTGTTGTGTTCTTTTTTGTTTGCCTTCTTGGCCTATGCGTGTCGCCACGGTATCACATTATTTTATAAATGTACAGTCGTCAAGAAAGTTATTCGTACAGTGATTTCTTTACAATACATATTCGCAATATTTTCATAATATTTTTCTTTTTCGTTAAATTTTCACGAAAATATAGTTCATTTCTAACAAAAACCATATAGATAAAATTTTCAAACTTTTTGCAGAGCTTAATAAAAATAAAAAAATCTTCACCAAAATTTGAAAATTTTGATTCAGAATTTTTAGAAAAAAAAAATTGAGTTACAGTTTTGTAGCTCATTCAATTATATTATGATATAGTGCAAGTTATATATATATATATATAAATTCTTTACATTCATTTACATTGCTTTTGTGAAATTCGCTGTTATAGAATATGAAATATATTTTCGGGAAAAATTAACGAAAAAATTATTATAAAAAAAATATTGCGAATATTGTAAAAACCATCACTGTACGGCTATGTTTTTATTTTTTCTATGCCATTGGTTTCTAGCAGTGTAATATTTTGATGTATGTACACATATAAAAAAAGACCACTGTTTTTCACACTTATTGTTTTTTTTTTGGTTTTGTCCACTGCGCGGCGGTTCCTTTTACGACCATATGTAGTACTGTTGATGATTGCTGCACCGGCAACATTATCAGTAAAAGTGTTAATAAGAACATGTTTTCTCGAATACCGCTTTACGCTTAGCGAAATTTTTTCACCTAGGCGATACTTGAATGGCAATTACAGGGACCAGACTAGCGTGAAGAAAATATATTTGTGCAGATTTTAATAAGCTTGGACAGCAGCTGCTCATGTTTATGTTGATTTTGATGTTAGTGTTGAATGAAAGGTGTTGATACTTGTTATACGAAAACAGCAACAACAAAGCGTATCATGTTTTGCAACAATGTAACGATGATCAAAATGTTCCCGTACATTATATTCCACTAAACCTTTTGTATTCAACAAGATATTTAGAAGAATGATTTATGTTCATATGTTTCATGTATCTTTGTCATTTATTAACGCTTTCTATTGAAATGAAAAGTCTTGAATTGCACCAAAAAGCACTTGTTATTCGAGGGATATAAAATTGTGTGAAGGATGCACAGCTGCATGCAAATAAGAAAAATGCAATGAATAATACCTTTTTTAAATTGAGGTGTTAAAATTTTTTTCGAATTTCGAACAGGGACGAGCAACACGTCTCAAAAATCTATAATATTATTTTAATGAAAAATAAAATTTTTTGTTGAATAAATCCAGTGGTTTCGCTGGTTTTTTTCGAAGTACAGTACTTTAGACCAATTTTTTTATGAAAGGGAATTTCTCCTATTTCTCCCCATCCATCGATACATCTAGACAATCTTCTAAAAGCCAGAGACAGTGACGAAGACATCAAGAGAAGTGAGAATATATGTATTAGTAAAAAAAATACTACACTGTAAAAAATAATTGTGTAAATTTCCTAGCTAAAAGGTAGGTTACTGGTTTCCTACCTTATTATTCGCGAAGAATCTTCGCTCAGATACATGCTCGATTATTCAACAAATAGTCTGTTTAAATTTCGGACTTTTTAGAGTGTAATATAGCTGCTGTGGTGTGCGTAAATTTACTACGAAAGTGCGTACAAGCTACAAATACACATCTGCTGTTTGATTTCACCCATAGAATTGTGTAAAGCCTGTGTGTAAATAATCAAATTTTGCAATACATTTTTAACCGACTTCCCGATAAGCTAGAACTTTGAAACTTCAGTGCAATACGAAGGAGGAATTAATACGCTAGGTGGCGCAGGTATCAGGATATAGGAAAAATCCATATTTATGGTCCAATTCGGCTTATATTTAAAATGTGTATTACTTGCATAAAAAGTATTAATAATATAAACAAGTTTGTTCAAAAGATGGAGCAGGAGTCGATATTTTTGGATAATCCGTATTTTATGATGAAATTTGGTTCATATTTTAAAATCAATATTACTTAAATATAAAAAAAAATACTGTAAACAATATTTAGCCGTTAAATCGTGCCGCGCGACTTTTCTTTTTAACCTCTTATAAAAGCTTGTCGTTGAACATTTTTGTTTTCAATTACTTATTTCCATACAAAGTATGTTCGAAAATTTTTTTATTGAAGAAAATGATGGGCAGTACCTTTAGTTTCTTTAAAGATTCATTTTATTTACTAAAATTTGATGGGCCTCGAAACTGCACACCAAAATTTTTTCTAAAAATTCAGACTGAAAATGTAAAATTTTGTTGAAAGCTTGCTGAACTTTATAATTTTTGCACAAAGTTTGAAGTTAGAATTTATATGTTTTTTTTGTTCCATAATGACCTATACAGAAATAATTAACATTAAACAAGCAAAAGCAAAATAATTTATATTTTAGCCATTGCATATATAATTCAAAACATACATATGCTTTGTTTGTAGCTGTGCGTATTTAATGGTTATATTCTCGTACATTTCACAAAAATTGAGGCCCTATTTGGAGCCACCCTTAGCTTAGAATATTTGAAATATCAGTTTTTTCCTCAGTATTAAGTAATTTTCATTTAAAATCAATACTCACTTATAGCGCCCCGCAGCATCCAAAGTCAATTTCCGCAACACAAGTGTGCCATTGGCAAGTATTAAATACCTGGAAATTTGCGAAAGGAAATGAATTATTTGATTAGTTTAACTGCTGAGTGTGAGTATAACAAAAAATTTAAGTGCATACAGTGGCCGAAAAAGTTATAGCCGCACCATATTTTGACAAGCCTTAACATATTATATATTTTTTTTTTGTTATTTAATGTAAACCCGTGTAAAACCAAGTTTCAAACTTTGTGCAATATTTAAAAAAAAACTACAGACTTTCTAAAACATTTTGAACTTTTTTAATTAGTTTTTTTAAAAAGATTCTGAGTATGCAGTTGTGTAGCCCATTGAATTCTGGTAAAATAAAGTACAAGTATCAAATGGCTGAAAATTACGATTGATTGTTTGGATTTTTTTTTTGTCCCATTTGCTTCGATATAACGAATACACAAAATTTATTTTTATATGGAAGAAAACCGTAACATCTTTGACAAAGAAAATTTCCATGGCCTACAAAACTGCATACTCAGAATATTTCTAGGAAACGTAGTTGAAAAGGCTCGCAACTTTTGTAAAAGTTTGTTGATTTTTTTTTTTAATATTGCACAGATTTTGTTAAAAAATGGAAATTTTTATAAAACAATAACCAAAATTAAATAACAAAAAAAAAATAAAAATATATGTTAAAACTTGTCAAAATTTGCCGCGGCTATATTTTTTTCGACCACTGTATGTATGTATGTAGGCACCAGTACATATGGATGTATGTACGAGTTAGTAAATGAAATCGGAAACTTCCACAAATCCGAAGCGGAAGTAACCAAGCCGACGCACAAGCGCAAACACTAACGAAAGTCATCTCATTAAATGCAGAAAGTAGCATTTATACGAGCATACAATAATTTATATTAAATAGATATATATATATATATGTGTATATATGTATGTATATGTAGAGCTATGAATTCATCTGCCTTTGCACAGTTAATTTTTATCACTTATATTACCGACAATCAATGCCACTTTCACTTCGCGTTGCGCTTGGTCGCTCTTAATTTTGGTCTTTTACTCGCCTGTTGTCTTCGAATTGCTTTGATAACGATACATTTCCATAGAACCAGGTAATATTTGCTGGCGGCACACTTACGACCGGACACTCGAGCGTGAGTGGATGACCTGTTGTGGCGGTTATATTGGCGGGAGCTGTTACGCGTTTAAGTACTACAAAAACAGACAAAGAAGAAGAAACAAAATTATAATTTATGATGGAAATGTGTCTGCAAATTGAACTGATAATCGACTACTAAGTATACATACACACATATGTATGTAAGTATGTATTTACCAGGATATTCCACCATGATAAGCTCCGACAACACCGCGGTTGTGTTAGCATTGATTTTACAACGATAAGCGCCAGCCGCCTTCTCCGTTGGTGGCAAGCGTAGTGTACCATTGCGATAGATTTTGAATTCGTTGCGTCGGCTGTGGGTCTCCACCGCTTGATCATTGCGATACCAGGTGTAAAAGTAGTGTGTTTCGTCTGCAAAAATTACAAAAAAAAAAATGCAAAGCAAAAGCAACAAAACAAAACACACATATGTATGTAAATAAGTATGTCTTCATTGAATGTTGGTTCATTCATTATTTTGCTCACTGCTAATGTCGTAGTAGTTCTCCTCAATGGTGGCAATGCACGGAAGATAATGATACAGATGATGTTTTGTGATTAATAATCTTGTGGTTTCTGATTTTTCAAGTTGCAGAAATGGTCCAGAGATGATTGTATTACCGTTAGCGCTAACTGCAAAACAAAGAGCAAAAAAAAAAACAATTAAATTGAATGAAACATTACCTGAGAAAACATGAAATAGGAAATCAGTTGGCGCCTTCATGAATACAAAATTAGATAATTAAAATATGAGTGCCATTTACCTCGTAGCTCTACGCCAGAAGGTAATACTTGTTTATTGGATAATAAATACTTAATTGTCAGCATTGCTTTTCAAAGATAAATAGTACTATGCACATACATATTACATACATATGAAGTACTAGCTGACTTTGAACTGAAACTAATAAAGATTTTATTCATAAAGTTGTTGAAGTTCATTTCACATAATGATGGATTGCGTATTTGTTGAAAATTTCCGTAAACTCTGGTGTCGGGCATAAATCAGATATTGAGGCTGGCGATTTGGCCACATTGTTACGAAACTTTTTGCTTTTGTACTAAATTGTCGATTTCCAAAAAATAAATATAAAATAGGCTGATATAAAGAAACACATCTTTTTATATTTCGGCATCATCAATGCCGAATTTTTTAGTTATTTTATTTGAATTTCTTTATTTAGTTGTCAGATACCCTTATAGCTCAGTTAGTCTACACTTAACTTAATTAAACTTACCGTAAGAAATCATCAATGATTACTCAACACGTCAACTGAAGCCAGAAGCGGAAATATTTTGTTTTTGTATTTTCTTTTTTAGGTGTTTAACAGTTAGCCGCCTAAAATGCCACATAAAAAAAAATGCATGCAAAAATATGTTTGCGTTCATTTATTTTTAAGAAATACTATAACGAAAATCTGGCAAGCCGGATAAATCTGTAGCTTAGAATCTAAAACCTACAGGTTCTTAAGTTGCTTACGGTAGGTTAAGTTTTAACTAACCGCCAACCCAGTTTATCATAAGTAAAATTCATACTCAAATCTTAAAAAATAATAGATTTACTGATATCTTTAAAACACCGCTAAGGGCATTTCCTGGGTAAGTAAATTTAAACAGTTTTTCGCCTCCGTTGTAAAATATCAATTTCCCCATTAGGACCTTATTATACTAAAGGAATTAAGATTAAAGGCCGGTGCACACAGAACTTTCGCGTTGGCGTTGGCGTTGATTAACAGCTGACTATGCATAGGGATGCAAACTATGCACCGATGTTTTACTAGACGATACATCGACTAGAATAAAGGGAAGACATCGACATAGTTCATTCACTCCGTTCGTATTATGCCGAACGAGCAGTGGCAAGCGAGCGCTTGTTCTCGGAAGCTGGTGCAACCATCATTCAGGATAGAAGCTTGGGGGCTAGATTTTCAAAGCTTCTTTTCTGAACTCATTTCAAAATGTTTATTCATATTTAAATAAAGAATATTTACATATTTAAGAAAAATATGGTTCATTCCGTAACCAGAACTTAGAAAAATTCAACAAATTTTCATCTAAATTTTTAATTTTTATAGTTTGAATATTTAAAAAAATTTTGGGTATGTAATTTTAATAAAAGATGTGCAAGTTTTAAGCGGCTAAAAATCGCTTTGCTTTTTAATGAGAAGCTTTTGCGTTTTTTTTCGTATAAAAGGCGCAATTTTTAATAACTGGCGTTGATTTTTTAAATTTTTTTTTTACAAAAGGTCTTTCGCATTTAATTTTGCAAGAAATTTCCTTTTATATGGTAAAATGTGCAAAACCCCGCCAGAAAAACCAATTCGTTAAAAATTAAGGCGATTTTTAAAGAAATCTTAAATTTTAGTATGAAAACTGGCGCAAAATTAGACATTTTCACTTAAAACTTTTTGAAAAATTGTCAATGTTCCTAAATCTAGGACGATCTATATGATATTTTTGTGTTTACCACTTCTTTCGAGCACCAGCGATGAATTTTAGTTGCTTTATATTATATTATATATTATTTATAGACCATTCTAAAGAGAAAAATTATAAGGCATTTGCTCATCAGTTTTGTGCAAGTAAACCATTATAAACTGTTTATGTCTATGTTTATGATTCTAACTAAACCAAAATAATTTTCAGGAATTTTCATTACAATTACTATGCTTCGCAATGCAGGCAGAGCTGAATTTCTAATTTTATGAATTTTTTAAATTTTCATTTTGATAAATCGCATTTGATGCTATATTTCCTGATTTGAATTACGCATTCATATCATATGATTGCATTAGAAAAAATTATACATAAATTCAAACCTGCTGCACACATTACTTTGCTTTTTAATTTATTCATACAAATGTACAAGTTTAAGCATTCCAATTGGCAGTACGCAAGTGTGGAGGCTTACAGCAAAGTGCAGTAGCATATCGCTAATCCATTGAAATTTTATCGCTTTTACACATTTATTTATATGTATATAACTATGCAGATAAGTATATTCATATTGACAAACACATTTAACAACCTACTCACAGAAATATTTTCCATATATATAAATGCATGTACGCGAGCTGTAACACCTCTAATGCCTTTTTATGTGAAATACCTTTTAGCGAATCAACAACAAACAAATCGGCTCATAAAAATTTATGAATGTAAAAAAGTCGTAAAATGTGATTACTTATTTATTTATTTAATTCGTATTCGAGGTGTGCATAAATTTCAGGTAATTAACTTCTAATAAAACATGTATTTTCCTAGGATGTACATATGTACTTAGTTACACATATATATATATGTCTGTAACTACATACTCTATGTAAGTATATACCCACGAAACATTTTCCATTGCGAATTAATGTTCCATTACTCCCTTTTATAATAGTGCTAATTCCTTTTTGATAGTAAGCAAAACAATCTAATATTTAAAAGTAACCGGAGCTTAAGGCTCTAGTTAAACCCCAATGCAATACTAAATCATTAAATAATTTTTAAAATCTTTTTACAATTTTTTTTAGTAAAGCGGCAATCTATGTAAATATATATATATATATCAATTGTTATTAACAGGGAACGGATTTTATGGAAATTGCTTTTTTTTCTGCTATAGAGATAGAGTATATTCGATTAAGAATGTCCACGATTTAGCTTTCCCTGATTCCACATATACACATTTGATGTTGCCTTTTTTTTGCCTTTTTTAAAATATTTGCCTTTTTTGAGATATTTGCCTTTTTTGCCTTTCTACCTTTAAAAAAGTGATTATAGCATTTACAATTTTTTTTTTTTAAGATTAACAAATATACACATGCCTATGCGGTTTATACAAGCACAGGGACCTCTTGCCAAATTGGTGTTGAAAAAATTCAAAGCCGTTTTCTCAGCTAACGTAGGTTTGAAGACAATAAGGGGTCTGTATAAAATTGTAAAAGGCGAGGAAAACGCCCTTATTCCTGATAATATGAACGTTTCAAACGTTCCATATTTAAATTGGGCTCCACTTGTATCAACTTACGTCGAGCGCACATTTAGTACATTCAAGGCTTTTCTTCGCGAAAATCGAATGAAAATGCTGCCAGAAAATTTCAAAGTACATCTTATGGTTCAATGTTACTACAACTATACAGATTAAAGTTTTATGAGTTAGAAACTCGAAAGGATAAAATAGTCAAAGATTCAAAGTACAAATTTTTCATATAATGAAACTAGTTCATAGTATTTCTCTTTTTACTTGTAATATAAGCATTTCTAAAATAAATATATTTTTTGATTGTTCTTCGTATTTTCTGCCTTTTTTTAGTGCCTTATTTTGCTTTTTTTGCCTTTACCTGCCTTTTTCGCTATTTCGTTTTGCTTTTTTTTGCCTTTTTTGCAATACCTAGTGCCTTTTCCTGCCTTTTCGCTATTTTATTTTGCCTTTTCCAGCCTATTTCGTTACTTTATTTTGCTTTTTTATAGGTTTTTAGGTCCTAAAAATCCGTTCCTTGGTTATTAATATGTTTACTAATTAGCAGGGACCGAGAACAAAAGGTATGGTCGAAATTAAATATCGTTCTCGTAGTTTTGTTTCCAAGAAAGGTTCAAAACCAAAACCGAAAGGAGAACAAAACGTCGAGAACATTCTCAATATGAATTATATAAGAACCAAGAACGGTCCCAAAGAGTACAAAGTGCGAACCATACTTCCGGGGATATTTCTAAGAGAATACATCTGGAATAAAAATCTCTGGAACGTTATGGTGAAGAACAAAACGGGAACAAAAGTCTAAGGAACTTTTTCCTGAAGAACAATTTGGGAACTAAAATCTCAGCAACTTTATGACAGAGAAAAAAATGGGAACACATTTTTTCTGAACTATTCGCGAAGAACGAAAGCGAGAACAAAATTTGTCTCATAGCGTTCCATTAGTTTGAAATGCTTGAATGTTAAAATTAATAAAAAAAACTGAAACATAACTAAGCAAATAGTGTCGACGAAAGACTTACGACACAGACTTTTCTTGCACAGAAAATTAAAAATTTTTCCATAAATGCACAGTTTACCCTAATGTTAAACGACCTGGAACGTGAAATGATCCAGCTTTGGTTTGGCTTAGAATTAACAATCGAGGTTCTCACCGAAACGATTTTTCATCCCAACTCGCTGGTGCCCCTCTGAGGCTTAAAATAAAGGTCTCAAAACTTTTTTCTCTAGCAAAACGTTCCCCTTACTTTTGTTGTTATTTGGTCCCCCTGGAAAACGTTCTAGATACTTTCGTTCTTATTTTGTTCTCATTGGAAACGTTCCCCAAAATTTCGTTCTCATTCTGTTCTTCTTGAGAATGTTCCCGAGAGTTTTTTTTTCAAATTTTGTTCTTTACGGAAACGTTGCCGTACCTTTTATTTTCATTTTGTTCTTGTTCAAACTGCTCTCAATACTTTTGTTCCCGTTTGGTTCTTTTGTGGTAGATTTAAAGACTAAGCAGATTTTCAGCTACAAACTGGTTACTCTTCCCACCGTGCGCCTTATATGTACTCATCCATGAGGTGCCTTTGCACTAGTTACGAAAAGTTAAAGCTGAAGCACAACACCGGCGAACGACAAATATCGCCCAGCAGAGTGATGCCGACGTCCAACTTTCGTTCATCTA